ATGAGTCCATGGAGCTGGTGCCAGGCTGTGCAGCAGGATGATATGAGACGGTTTGGCAGGTGGCGCAGTGGACAAAGCAACACGGTAGGACTTGGTGGTGCACTTTGGTGATACAAGGCAGATTGATCCGGCTGCACTGTCAGGCAGGAGAAGAGAAAAGGGGCTGCCACGCCTCCACGGGGTCTTCTTATATCTAAGCCACGCACAAAATGAGAAGACACCAGGCTGCAACCTGATTAAAAGGCTAGACTGCACCCATATCTTCTTATAGGTGCTATGCTCATCAAAAACAACAACACAAACAACTTACCATTATACCCCTAATGTAAGAAAAATCAGTTGTTACAATGTTGTCCTACTCCATACTTGCCCTCATGAAGAGATCCCTGAGGATATAAGTGCTATAGTAAATGGTGATGAAGTAATCAGATAGGGACATGCTATCAAACTAGCATCTGGGTCTTAAGGCCTTGTACAGCAGATTTACCCAGTGAAAGGGCTTCATTTTGCTGAGATGCACCGTCAATGGTCATGGACGCAGTGGTCAATAAGCCAAATGCCTTATGTGTTGGGCGCATATACTGCACAAGGCCTATTTACAGGGTTGAAAATGAAGGATATTATTTTGAAGGCTGAGGTGTGCATAACCCAACTTGCTCCCAAATCATGTGCAAATTAGACTATGTAGAAGAAGGACTTCAGAAGAATTGATGCCTTTGAAGTATAGCATTGGTTAAAAATATTGAAAATATCATGGATTTCCAAAACAACAACAAATCTTTCTTGTAAAAAATATAGTCAGAGTGTTCCTCAGAAGAGAGGATGGTGAGAATTCATCTCATGTCCTTTGAGCATGTTATCAAGAGAGACCAGCTTCTGGTGACGGTCACTGTGCTTGGTAAGGTAGTGGGCCGGGATAAGACCATTTAAGAGATGGAAGGCATCATCAGAACAAAAAATCTTACCATAGTGAATGAGGGGGGGAGTGCAGAGTGGAGATCCAAAGCCCATTAGTAGGCCACTGGAGATCCCCTTGCAGAGGGGTCTCGGGGAGGAGATGAGCCAGTCAGGGTGCGATGTAACAACGATGAGAAATACAACTTTCCTCTAATTCCTAAATGTTTCCTCCCCTCTCCCACTACCATGACTCGAATTCGACCTTGCAAGTCTGGCTAGACCAGAGGATGTACACTGGTACAGATAGGAACTGAAAATGCAGGGAATCCAGGGTGGATGAGCCCTATAGGACCAGTGGTGTGAGTGGCAAATCAGGGAGGGTAAAGGGAGAGTGGGTAGGAAAGAGGGAACTGATTACAAAGAACTATATGTGACTTCCTCCCAGGGGGACAGACAACCAAAAAGTGGGTGAAGGGAGACGTCGGACAGGGCAAGATATGACAAAATACCAATTTATGAACTATCAAGGGCTCATGAGGAAGGGGAGCTGGGAGGGAGGTGGAAAATGAGGACCTAATGTTGGGGGTTTGAATGGAGAGAAAATGTTTTGAGAATGATGTACAAATGCGCTTTACACAACTGATGTGTGTATGGATTGCGATAACAGTTGTATGAGCCCCTAATAAAATGTTTAAAAAAAAAAAGAAAGAGAGATGGATTGACATAATGCCGGCAACAATGGGCTTGAACATAACCAGGATTGTGAGGATGGTGCAGAAACAGGCCATGCTTCATTACAAGGTACAAAGGTGTGTGTGTGGTGTGTGTGTGTGTGTGTGTGTGTGTGTGTTTGTAAGCCCAAACTGATGGACACTGAGTCAAACAGGACTCATAAAACTTCTATTTAAGACTTCAGCGGCTTCTCAGGTGAGTAGACAGCCTCGTTTTCTCCCTTGGCACAGCTGGTGGACTTCAACAGTAGTCCAATGCCTACCTGACAGTGCTACTAGAGTGCTGTCTCTCCTCTCTTTATATCTCTGTCTGACAGAGGATATTTGTGTATGGACATTTACTTTGGATACAAATATACTCATGAAAGTAGGAAAACATACAGGGTCAGAATTTATAGAACTTCTTAAACATATCCAAACACTCCGGTGAAATAAATCTCTAGACCTGGGGGCACAGGACGATAGTCTCAGGGGAAACCAAATTAATGGGCATAACATATTCCACAACAGTGTTTTAAATCTCCCTTTGATGAATAGTAATGGAAGTCTTAAAATCTGATCGTATACATCTAAATGCCAATACTAGTCTTTGAGCCTGCAGGAAATGCTAGTCATGAAAACAAAGACAAATGGAAACAATTAATCCAGTGAAATAATCACTCACTCTTCTCATAAATGAACTCTCATCCAAGAACACCTGTCAAATTGGTTTTATTTTGCTCAGCATTTCTTATAGAAGTTGTGTTTATTCATCTTCTCTGCTTCCCAATTTAGGAAACTTTTACTCTACTTTTAATTATAGGTGTTTTTTATAATCCATTCCCTCGGGATCTTAGATCCACTATATGACATGCCTCCAGGGAAACGGCATAATGAACTTACGCTCGCCTTCCCTTTCAATGCCTCAATGATTCCCAGAAGTGATCATACAGAATTCTATTTACTACAGGACAAGTCGGGAAGACACAGATTTCCCTAGCAAAGCGTTCATAAATGCTTCTGTATTCATGGCTGCATTGTATATTCTTTTGTTTCCTAACCTTCTGCAACTGTCCGCAGGAGTGACTAATCCATAGTAGTAATTCCTACCATGAACACTATTCGACCAGATAGTTATAAAAGAAGAACACGCTGAAATCATGAATTTTAATATCCATAAAATTTCTGATGTAAACTTCAATGTGTAAGTAAAGAGATTGCAATATACTTCTCTTCAACCGATGCTTTGTTCTTTGCTCCAATTTGTGGAGTGGCACTTTATTTTCTTCACCTCGGTGGTTAGCCTCTCTCAGTTGCCATCTACTCTGCTATTGTCCTCAAGAGGACCATTAGTTGCTCACACTTAAATTTACCACTTTACAGACTACAGAAAAACAAACTCTTTCCAGTGATACACTTCAGTCCCATATTATTTTTCCCTTTCCACCAATCTATCAATGTGTTCTTTTCTTCAATATGATTATAAGAAAACAATCTTATTATAGCTTTTTATACCTTATGACAATATAAGCAAATGTAATGCGTCTTAATAATTTATAAATCCATTTGTATCATTCATAAGAATAAGAATAATAAATCAAAATTTAAATTCCTGTGTAAATAAATAAGTCTGGGTTGATTATTCCTCCCTTATCATAAAATGCGTGATATGATTAATTAGTAAACCCACATTGTCTTTACTTAATTCCTCATTATGTAGTCAGTCTATAATAACATAGCAATAAAAGTTGGTAAAATAATGAACTAATAAGTAATAAGTACTTTTAGCCATAAATTACAAAAAGATTTAAGCCCTAAGACAGAGTCTGATTTTATTTATACCACTGATTTTTATGATATAGTTACATCATAAAGTTATATTATGCATAGTTAATATACAGTTAATATAACTAAATACCTATAGTTATATTAATTTTAATTATTTTTTACAAACCGTACTTATCAGTATTAAAAAGAAGCAATGAAAATCCACACATACTAAAATTAGTACCTACAAAATTAGTACCTACAACATATGTCAATATAAGCTTTGTATCCATTTTGTAACTTAGGATCTGAAATAATTCTATGCTTCAAATTTGCAATCTTCATTTTGAATAATTGTCCTCCTGGAGCAATGTCTTGAAAGAAGTGGAGCCAGAATATTCCTAAGAATTAAGGATGGCAAGATACTTGGGAAATGTTATTAAGAGAAACCAGTCCCTTGGAAAGGCCATTTTACCGGGTAAAGTAATTCGTGACAAACAGGAAGGCCTTCATGAGATAGCTGACACAATGACGGCAGCAATGGGCTCAGCTGTAATAAGTGTGACGATGGCACAGGACCAAGCAGTGTTTCTTTCTGTTGCACCACAGGATCACCATGTGTCAGACCTGATTAAATGGCACCTAATAACTACATAGAACAACATACATACTTTACATATCAGCTTCGTGACTAAATAAAATATCTCTTTGACAAATCGAATCAATCATATAAACAAACTGTTGTCAATACTAAAACTATCAAAAGTCATATTTCATCCTTTTCTTTATCCTTGGAAGATTAGTGAAAATCTTACTATCAACTATGATTCCTTACAGAGATTACCAGAGGCTGATATCACATAGTTGAATTGACCATGTGGAGGGTGGAACCACTGATTCATGATATTTAAGGAAAATGCTTATTATATGATCACATTCAGTTATATTGTACATAAGTTTCATTCTTTTAAATAAGTGATAATAATGCATATTAATATTGAATAATGTTATATGGCAATTCTCCCTGGCCAAACACTGAACAAACACCTTTACATCTGAATGCATTAAAGACACTGCACAATGTCTTTCAAAACAAAAATGAAATAAAATAATCTACTGCTTTGAGCTGATTCCAATTAATAGGGTTTTTATGTTACAGGTATATAGGGTTTATACCTATAGAGGGTTACCCAAATTGTAAAATTTGGATAGAGAACCTCATTTTTTTCCCTTTGAGTCTGATGAGTTTGAATCACTGACCTTATGGTTAGTAATCTAAGTTTAACTGACAGCAACACCAGAGTTTTGTTGTCTCTCTAAAGAGCATCCTTTCTCACTTGACTTGTAACAAGTTGAATACTAGGCTAGATTCCCTACGGTGGGGGAAGTCTTGGAGATTTTTCCAGAGTTCCTTTGTCCACATATTGCTGTCACAGTTTTACAAATGTTTTGCATGAACCTAGTACCTTAGCTGCTGTCACATTTTTCCCCAAAGTGTCTCAGAAAATTGTCAATTGTTTTATTTTTGCCATTCAATTAAAATATAAGTGAGGTATTTCCAGTGTTTCGGTGCAAAGACCAAGTGTAAACTTCTCTCTTTCTTATTCCAGCTGAACTGGGAACATTATGGAGCAAAAAAACAAGACCAGAGTAACTGAGTTCATCCTCCTTGGCTTTCAGAATGAAAAAGAAGTAGAAATACTTCTCTTCATTGTATTCCTTTTTATGTATATGACATCCCTAATTGGGAATACCATGATTATCCTTTTAGTGTGTGTTGACTATCGTCTGCACTCACCTATGTATTTTTTTGTAGCCAACCTTTCTTTCCTTGAGCTCACCATCACCTCCACCGTAGTGCCAAAGATGCTCGCCAACACCTTTTCACTCACTAAAGTAATATCTTTTATGGGATGTCTTACACAGTCTTTCTTCTACTTCCTCTTTGGATCCACAGAATTCTTCATCCTGGCTGTCATGTCTTTTGACAGATATGTTGCCATTTGTAATCCATTGAGGTACACCATGATCATGAACAAAGAGACGTGTATACTCTTGCTTTTGGGGTCCTATGTGGGTGCATTTTTATCAGTTTTGGGACCATCCATTGTAACTGGGCCTCTGCCGTTTTGTGGGCCAAATGTAATCAATCATTTTTTCTGTGACAGTGCTCCAGTGCTCAAGCTAGTCTGTGCAGATATCTCTCTGGCTGAGCTAGCTGATTTCCTCTCCTCCGCTGTGTTGCTCTTGGGGTCCCTGCTCCTGACAGTAGTGTCTTACACCTATATTGTCATTACTATCCTTAGGATTCCTTCTGTTCAGGGACGGCAGAAGGCTTTTTCCACGTGTGTTTCCCATATTACAGTGGTTACAATATATTATGGGAGCTCCATCTTCATCTATGTTCGTCCAAAGAAGAGCAATGTTATGGATGTTAACAAGTTTGCCACAGTTCTGAACACCATTGTAACACCAATGCTGAATCCTTTTATTTACAGTCTCCGGAATGAGAAAGTCAAAGAATCCCTAAGAGATGTATTCAGTAAATATGTAGGTAGACTAACAGATAAAAGATCTCAAAAATGATATCTTCTAAGACAGGAACTGGTTTTCATGTCTGATAACAAAATCATTTTATTTTGTAGCTATTCAAAAGTTAATATCCATGCACAAAGAAAAATTAGGATAATATATATTATAATATATATTATAAATTAAGTCCAGTGTTCACTTAAAAAAGGCTTCCAAAATATTTGTAGATATTCTTGTAAACCTTAACAATATGTACATAGATAGCTACATAGATAAGTTGATGGATACATAGATGGATAGATAAGTTCAGAGTTACAGATACAGGTGTGATCATTATTTTTTCCCTAATCCCCAGCACTTCAATTCTTTTTAAAAAGAAGTCTTGGTGGCATTGTGCTTGGGCATTGGACTGTGATCCTGCAAGGTCATTAGTTTGAAACCACCAGCTGCATCCGTAGAGAAAGATATGGCTTTCTAGTCCCATAGCGAGTTACAGTCTCTAAAACTCCCACGGACAGTTCTACCCTGTTCTCTGGGCTTTCTATGAGTCACTGTTTGGCACCGAGTTTTGAGTGAATCCACTCTATAAATTCAAATGATGGCAAAGCTTAGCGATTTAGTAAAGTAAAACCCTGATTATACTCTTCTGTTTAGGTAGGTGCTCAGCTCATTCGCAATAGTTTCTCTTTTGTTTGTTTTTCTTATTTAAATATTGCTTTGTCTTTTGTAATTAATGAAGACAATAAATTGACGCTCTTAAAAATTAAATGTTGTTGAACATTTTAAATTTTATGTTAAAATATTGCATATACAATATATATCATTGATTTTTAATTTTGGATTTTTATATAGACTATTAAATGATCCACATTAGTAGGGACATAAAACCATTATGTCCCTAGCTCTTTGTCACAGATGCTAAGTGTGTATTTAACTCCGACTATTGATTTTATCCAACTTATTACTCTATGAGATCATGTGGAGAAAGAATAACTATCAGGCCTATTAGATTGGCCTATCAATTTTTAGGCTTTCAGTATTTGACAATACTTTGAAGCTACACAGAAGTTTTTCAGCAGCTTCTGCCTCCAAAGCAGGGAGCCACCACATCCTTTTTTGTTATCTGTTCTTAGTCTGGAAACTCCACTGAAACCTATACACATTGGGTGACCCTGCTGGTATTTGAAATACCAGAGACATAACTTCCAGCATCATAATAACACACAAGCCACCACATTACAATAAACTACCAGACACAATGGGGCAAGGTAAAAGTAAATGTGAAACTTATGGTACTAAGCTCATCTACTTACTGAAAAGACA